CTGAACCAGCCCTGATGAAGCGCAGACATTCCAGAGCCTTCCCAGGCGTGGGTGAGGCGGGGGCTGAACGCTGACCGTGGGCAGGAGAGGACAAATGGTCACTTCAGGCGCTTCTTACAGAAAACTGAGGCCTAGACAGGAACACACCTTCCAGTCCATGGGGCAGGGCTGGTGGTCTCCAAACAAAGGCCCCACAGCAGTGCAGGCCTGGGGTGTGAGCCTGGGGTGTGTCAGGATGGAGCAGGATAACCCACTTCTCCGGGGGGGGGGAGGGGCGCTGTTGCTCCAGTGACAGAATGGGGACCAGCTGAGTCACAAGAGGACAAGGAGCCTTTCCAAGCCTCTCCGATGTGCTCAGAGGTGACCTCCTTTCATTTAATCCTTCAAGAGCCTTGAAAGGCCAGAGGTCACGGGCCCATGTTTACACTGAGGCTTAAAGAGCTTGGTAACTTACAGTAAGTCACGCAGCTAAGACGTGACAGTGGCAGGACTTGAACTGAGGAGGACGTGGACTCCGGTCTAGCTGACCCCGAGTCAAGTGCTCTACCCACCAACCCACAAAGATCCCTCCCACACCCCAGGTCTTTGCCGCCTGCCTCGCCTGGATCCCTCTTCCCAAGCCCCCCATTGGCCCCGGCGGGGCAGCTCAGCTGGTTGGACCGTCCTCCCTCTAGGGCCAAGCTTGGGGATTTGATTCTAGTCAGGGCACATACAGCGAATACAGAAATAAGTGGAACAACAAATCGATGTCTCTCTCTCCCCCTTCCTCTCTAAGATCCATCCATCAATCAATAAACTTTAAAAATAAAGGCCCCCCCTTTTTATTATCCCACCTTTAGAGTCTTCGTCCTTATTCCTTGACTCATTTAGATGCCCTCCCCACCCCAAGGTTGGCTACTAGTGTGGGGACTTTGCATTGCACTTAGGCATCCCTGGGCCTATATAGAAGGTCAGTCAGTATTTGATGAATGAATGGATGAGTGAATGAACGGGCTGATGCTCAGCTTCCAAAGCCACAGTCGGTGAAGGGTGGGGGCTTCCAGGCATGTTCCTTAGCAGAGCAGTTTTTGTTCACCGAGGAGCCAGCAACATGCGCACCCTTTGTTCTCAGAAGAGAGGGGTGCAGACGCCCGTCTGGCCCCAGAGGCTGTTCTCCCCCAGACCTGCCCTGCAGAGCCCGGGGAAGCCCCCAGAGGTGGGCAGCCCTCCCACCTGCTCCCCAGAATGCGACCTGCAGAGAAAAGCAGTGCGGATGACGGGACCCACAGGCGGGAGGTGGGGGGGTGGGGGGTGGGGGGTGGGGAGCCCGGGGCGCGGGGCGGGGCGGCCGCTCGCCGCTTTGTTTGCCTCTGTGTATGGCAACCAGAAACCACCGCGGCCAGCACTTCTGCAGAACCCGTCCTCCCGGCATTTTAATCTCCTAAACTGATTTGTCAGCACCAGGAAGTGACATGACAGCTTTCCTCACGAAAGGGAAACTCCTCCGCGTTACCATGGGGATGGAACCCACTGGATAATCACAGATCTATATCATCTTAAAGGTGTACACACAAGGATGGTATCCTCCGTGGACATGGGCGGGGGCGGGCGGGAGGGAAATGGACGCCGGAGGCTGCAAGTTCAAGGCAAATTAGCCCCCGATTTGCAAAATTCCAAGGAAAGGAGAGGGTGCTGTGGAGGCGTTTGGGGTTGGAATTATCCTAATGGGATAATGGGCGCCTGGAAACCACAGAAACGCATTTTGCATTGATGCATTTTCCATGGCCTAGAATTTGAGGGCTGAGAGGAGCTTTACCTATTAGATCCAGGGCATCCTGGTCATTTTATGGGGAGGAAAACAGACCCGCGGTGGCAGCAGCTCGCTAGGAGCTGGGAAAGGGTCTAGGTCAGGGGTGGGCAACCCCTGGCACGCGTGCCAAACATGGCACACCAGTAACTTTTGCTGGCATGCGAAACCCTCTCTTATAATCTTCCATTTACAATTTTTTTCTTAATATCGACTTTTTTATTTTTCAGATAAATTCAGTGTAGGTGCATCTTAGATAAAAAAATAATTTTACAGAACAAGTTATCTTAAAGACCATAGACATGGATTGATGAGAGAGGGGAAGAGCAATTTCTATGCCTCTGCCTTAACTCTCCCTGCTTTCCTAGATCCGACCAGTGCTTTGTTTTCATCCACATACGCTTGTGAATCTTTGTTCTCAGTGATGAATTTTGTTAAGTCTCGTAATAAGAGTAGCCTCACAGATGAAAGTAGTAGCTCGTGCATATCTCTGAAGGTCACGAAATATAAACCTGATGTAAAATCTCTGTCATCAGTGATGCAGCAGCAAAAGTCCCGCTGATAATATCAAACGAAGTCATAAAGCTTTCTGTCGGACTATCAGTGTATATGTATACATTAAAAACTAAATGTATTTTTCATCATCATATGCTGTGTTTTTGTCGCTCGAATGAATTTTATTATGTCTTCAAGGTTCTTCACATACGTACACCTTAAGAGATATCAAGGAGGCGTAACATGTTCTCAAAAAATTAGGGTTGGCACGCAGAAGAATTTTGAGTCAGAGATTTTGCTGGTTTTGGCACGCACTCACAAAAAGGTTGCCCACCCCTGCTCTAGATGTTTCCCCAGGGCCCACTCCTTGCCAGGGACTTACATTCATGAGGCCTCCTCCTCCTCCTCCCCCTCCTCCTCACGAGGGAGCTGGCTTTATTATCTTCATTTTACAGATGAGAAAACTGAGACCCAAACACATAAATAGATGTCCCACCGCAAAGTTACACGTGAAGACCAGGGTGATGTCTGGTTGGCTACAAAGCCCATCTTTCCCCTCTCCCTTCAGCTGTCTTCTGGACTGAACTGGGACGTGGGTCCCCAGTCTTCTTCACAGACCCACGTTCCAATCTCTGCAATCCCCTGTACTTGCTGTACGACCTGGAGCTAGAATTCAAGGGCTGTCCTCCCCCTCTCTGAGCCTCAGCTTCCTCCTCTGTCCAGTGGGTGCTGCTGTGAAAGGTTTAACGGAAAGGTGTGCAAGGCAGTTAGGTGGGCACACAGCGCCAGCTCTAAAATCCACAGCTCTGTCATCACCACATGATCAGTATTAAATGATTGAGTTGTCTCTATTGCAATCTTCCATTGAGAAGCAAACGTTTTAATAATATAAGCATCTTTTTTTTTTCCACTGAGGTACATTTTCCCCCTAAGAAAAACCCGAAGACCGGGAATCAGATCTACCGGGAAGGGGGCTGTCACCCCGCCCTCCTGGGTGGTGGGAGGTGAGTGGCTTGTGCTGGGAGAAGTGAGGGAACTGCTTTCACTGGAGGCTGCCTTAGGCAGCCGCTGTATTTTTCCACTGCATGGATCACAGTGGAGATTAATTTTGGTCTAACCAGCGCCCTGCCAAGCAGAAAGTGATGGCCCCAGCCCACGGGGAAGTCGGCCATGGCATCTGCCACAGACTCGGAGCCGCTGGTATATTTCCACGAAGGGACAGATGGGCAATAGTAAATGTCTAGAGTTTGATAACAACACTGGATAAGGTTTGTTTTGACAGGCGTGAACACACTTGAAATCGGAAGCCCAGCCGAGGAAATGAGCCTGCCAGCCCGGAGCAAGTTCTTAGAACTTCAGAGAACACAGGGCTCTCTCGGGCCCTGGGAATCGGGTGGCAGGTGGTAAACTGATGGGGAAAGGTCCAGGTGGGCTGCACCCGAACCACTGCCCAGGGGGCTACTGGACAAGTCGAGGCGGATGTTTCCTTCCCTGCTTCCTACAACGCTTGGTCCAGAAACAAGTGGTGGGGGCAGGAGCTAAGGGGTCAGTGAGCCAGGGCGTTCGCTGCTATTTTAATTCAACATTATAGACTGGACCATGGGTTAGTGGTTGATTACACCTTCTCTGTTTTGGCCTGTTTGGCAAGAGAGAGTAAAAACCCAGAATGTTGCCCTAGAGCACGTTGGATTTAATAGCCTGGCTTCTTCGGCAAAATTATGAAATCAGAGCAGGAAGTGACCTGGAGGCAGCCGCCGAACATCCTATGTACCCAGGCTGGGGCTCCGGGTGGATATGCTCCAAAGCAGTGGTTCTCAACCTTCTAATGCCGCGACCCTTTAATACAGTTCCTCATGTTGTGGTGACCCCCAACCATAAAATTATTTTCGTTGCTACTTCATAACTGTAATTTTGCTACTGTTATGAATCGTAATGTAAGTATCTGATATGCTATATGTTTTCCGATGGTCTCGACCCACAGGTTGAGAACCGCTGCTCCAAAGCCTTCATGATGGGCAGGGGAAGGGGGGGGTGGGGGAGGGGAAGGGACTTCAGGAATTTTGTTTATGTTGTATTTGCTTACAGTGCTTGGGTTTTTAACCATCTGAGGTATTATTTTCACAATAAAGGTCTTTTCAAAGGCACAACGAGAGCATGTGAGAGGTAACTGCAAAGCACATGGACTTAGAAAACAAAACAGAGGCAGGCCCAGCTCCCTGACTCCCGCCCCTTCGCTAGGCTGGGTCTCAGCGCCTTTGCAAAGGATTGGCTGCTTTGTTTTGCAGGGAGCACACGCTGCCTGGCATGTAGTAGGAACACATTTATTTATGTGAAGTGTTTGGAAAACTATCACCCTCACAACCAGCACAGCTCTGAGAGAAGGGAGGCCTGTTGTATTATCTCGGAGAAGGTAGTAAATGAGAAAGCAACCCATCTCTTTTCAGCGCTGGCTCTGGGGACACAGGCCCCCTGGGTGGCACGGTAGGGGATCTATGGAGGGACACTGGAACCCAAGGTTAACACAGATCAGCTACAGCACCTGGTTTTTCCTGATCGATCCCACTTCTCTACCCACCTGACAACTCCTGTATCTCATGGGACTGAGGCCACCAAGGAGTGTGGCATCAGATCCTCACGTGCTTTCCGGAAGCCCCTGCTGCTGCACCCCTATTTCTTCACTAGGGATCGGGGGCTGCCCAAGAAAGCAAGCATCTGAGAGTTCAATAGAAATGCCATAATTTATTCTGTTGTATAAAAAAAAGTCATCCTTATGTAACAAAATGTCTTCTCAGAAGAAGAAATATATTATTTCAGGTCATAAATAATCAGCAAACAGACAACTGTTGGCAACTCAAAACAGCAACACTGGCGCCTCCTTCCGCCAGTGCTGAGAACAAGCCTGCCCGGGCTGTATTTACAGGACGTGACAGTACTCAACACAAAAACTGAGGTATTTGGTTCTTCTAGGAGGCGACACTGACCTTTGTGAGGGCGGGCCGCCCGCACAAAAATAAATAAGGTATATTCGCATATGCATGTGTCGTCGGGAATGGTAACACTGGTACGTATGTCAAGCATGAAGTGTGGACAGAAAAACGGGGGCAAGCGAAAAGAATCGGCTCGCAGGCGGAGTCCTTTCCCTTCTGCCCCTCTTTGTCAGGGGGACGCGAGGTACCCACTCGACGTTGGTCCCGAATATGCCGAGTCCAGCGAACGCCTTGCTGCTCAGCCATCACTGTGGCTGCTTGGGAACCCAGTGGAACTCGGGGGAAGTTAATAAATAAGTAAGGACCAGCCCTCAGGAGCCCCTCCCTGGAGTGACTGCATTTTCTCTCAAGGGGGAGCCTGGAGTCCCGGTGGGTGGTGAAGATCGCCTCCCATGGCCTTTCAGCAGCTGGGAGAGGTCGTAATGGGGCTCTGAAGGTAGCTCAGCGCACTGTTCGTGGAGTGGACCGGGATGGAGACGGGGAAGTTGAAGACGGTGGTGGTGGAGGCGCCCCGGTCCAGCACGGACATGGCGGGGCTTCCCGCCTCTGCCGAGCAGTGGGGGGCCAGGACCTGGGACTCGAACTGCAGCAGCTGGCCCATGAAGCTGAAGTTGGGGGAGATGATGCTTCTCCGCTGCTTCACAAACTCAAAGGCCTCGTCCAGCTTGACCCGGTTAGTCCGCATGAGGTACGCGAGGCAGATGGTGGCCGAGCGGGAAATGCCCGCCTGGCAGTGGACAAACACCCTCCCTCCGGAGTTCTTGACGGAGTCTGCAAAACAAAGGGGGGGCTGGTTACCCGAGAGCTCGCGAGCGCGGCCCTGGCCCCCAGGCACCGGGTGTCTAAGAAACATCATGCGTGTCCTGTGCAGAGATGCTTAACATCGACTCGTGCATCGCCAAGACACTGTTCGTGGAGGCAACGGAGCCCCTGTTGCGAAGCACAGGGTTAAACCTAGACTGGCCATCCACTAACCAAATGGATGTTGGGCAAATCAATTCAACTTTCTAAGCCTCAGGCTTGCTCGTCTGAAAAGTGGGGCATCACACCCGTCTGTCTGCAGGGATGTTACCCACACCAGGCTGCTATTTACTGTCTGGAGGAAGGCGGAGAAGAACGTCACTCAGGTCCTTGCCACAGTGTTTGGGCTCAGTGGCTAAGCTGGGGGAGGGAGGAAGAAGTCTCAGGCATCCGCTCCATTTACCTATGAAGTCAATGGCCTCGTTGAACCAGGAGCTGATGTCCGCCTTGTGGTTGTCCTCCACGGGGATGCTTTTGTATTGGTAGTGACCCTCGAAATGGTTGGGACAATTGGCGGAGACGTTGATCAAGGCGGTGATGCCCAAGGCATCCAGCATGTCCTTGCGGGAAGCATGATAGGCACTGCCCAGGTACAGAAAGGGCAGGATCTCCACTGGGCCACCCTGGAATCCAAAAATATCCAACACTTGTCAAGCTTTGCTCAAAGTCAATGCCGGTGCCCATACCCACAGACCTCCCTGCTGTAAGTCAGTGTCAGATGCTGGGTGAACTCTCTCAGCACTGTTGTTGGGGTATAAATAAGTAGGGACTAAGCCCATTTGCCTGGGCAAGCCCAGTGGTCATTTCTGTGGTGCCAGTCTGAGAGGCTCAGCTCATCAGAGCACTTGACCACGGGATAAATAATACCCCCTCCGTCCTAAACAACAATGCAGGTCACTTTCTATATTCTCACTAGCACTGCCCTCCCAGGCCTGTCAGCTGTCCCTTCTCCCCTCTGGCACGGCCCCCTACTGACCTGATCGTAGAGTGGGGTGCTGCAGGAACTGCACCCCGAGTCGGCGCTGTCAGGGACGTTAGTACTCAGGGGAAGGCTGAGCCCCATGGGGGTCGACTGTTTGCTGCACAGCTCCGGGCAGGAAGCTGAAAACGCTTCATATCCTCCTGGGAACACAGAGAGACATTTTCCCCATTAGCACCGCTGGGACAGGGCCCTTCACACCACTCCCCCACCCACCAGGGCTGGAAGTTTACCCCGAATCTTTGTTCTGGCGCCAGGCAAAGCCAAGGACAAGCCCCCAGAAAACTGCTCCCGCTGGGGCGGGAGCGGAGGGCCAGTCCTCCT